CTGCTTTCAGGGTATCAGTTGCTCTTGTGTCATCTTTTGTGAGTGACATCTTGCTTTGCTCTTGAATATTGTGTGGGATGGTTTGCTTTCTTCGAGACATTGGTATGTGCTCTTGAGATCAGATGGGCAGCTACCAAACTTGTGCGTTTCTCTGAAAAAATATGGAACTCTTCACGAATTTGCGTGTCATCCTTGCGCAGGGGCCATGCTAATCTTCTCTGTATCGTTCCAATTTTAGTATATGTGCTGCTGAAGCGAGCACTCTTCTGCTATTCTTAGTCATTGTCCAACTCTCTGGTGCATAGCAAGTAATTGCAAAGACTATGGCCTGGATCAGGCACAGATTAGTCCCTAGACTAGCATCTTTACTCTTTAGGATTTTGGAGAGGTCCCTGACAGCAGACTTTCCCAATGCAATTAATCCATCTTTTAATTTTCTGACTGCTAGTGCCAAGAAGGTTTTTTGTGGAGCTGAACAAACTGAAATTGTAAACAACCTCAGTCTCTTTTCTCTATATTACGGTGTTGCCGATTGACCCAGTGATGAGAATCTTTGTCTTCTTGATGTTAAATTTAATAATTTCAAAATCCATATTGAAAACTACAGTTCTTGACCTTCTGCAGCAAAATCTTCAGGCCCTCCTCAGTTTTAGCAAGAAAGGTTGCATATCTGCATTTTGCAGTTTGTTGATGTGTCTTACTCCAATCCCGATGCCACATTCCTCCTCATAAAGTCCAGCCTTCCAAATTTGTTCTGCATACAGATTAAATGTATGGAGACAGGTCACACCTCTTGACTCACTCTTTTCCCAGTTTTATTTGCTCTGTTCTGAGGACTACTTCCTGGTCCAGGTATAGATTTTGCATGAGCACAGTCAGGCATTAATTTACCAAAGTTAGCAACTTCAGAACTATAAAAGCACTTATCAGAACTGAGACAAGAATGGGCATTTGTACATCTATGTTCATAGCAGCATTATTCACAATAACAAGAACTTGGAAGCGGCCTGAATGTCCTTCAAAAAATGAATAGATTGAAAAATTGTGGCATATTCACACAGTGGAATACTGTGCAGCAGTAAGGAGAAATGATTTCATAAAATATAACTGGGGAGAAACTGGAGAGCATTTTTTTAGTGAAGTATCTCAGTCACATAAGGACAAACACTGAATAAAAACACTATTGTGAAACTGAGCAGGATGTGTATAAATATTCATAAAAACAAGGAGACTAATGGAACAGCAAAAGGGAAAGGAAGAAAATCACTGGAATAGCAGAGCTTAGTGGGTGGAGGAGAGTGAAGAAATGGGAGAGATTTAATGGGGACTTGAAAATACTAGGCATAAAGTGATGTTAATTAATTATATAAAATATAATGTATACCAGTGATTGTATAAAACACAAAGTACATGTAAAAAACACAATGTAAATGATTATGTGCAAACCAATACAAATTAAAAACAAACAAAAACCCCACACAACAACTAGGTAAACAGTCAGTTTAGGCAAGTAATTCTTCCAACAAAGTCTTTTAATTAGTGTTTTCTATTTATGTGGCATCCCCTTACTCTGCATATTACAATACTTACTCAAAGATTATGAAAAATCAGTTTTCCAGTGAAATTGAGAAAGGAGCCCTGGGAAAGAAGAGGCTCTGTTAGAATGTTTGAACTTCTAGAAAGAGGGAAGAGAGACTCTACAGGTCCATCTTAACTAAAAAGCTAGGAAGCTGTGGCACTACAAACCCAAAGGCACACGGTTCAAGGCTCCTAGCTGCTCTGCAGGAGAATGGGCAGTCTTCTCCTGTGTGATTCATCAACTGCCTTGAAAACTCTCCAGAGGGTCAGCTATGTGTCAGTTCTTTCTCTATGGTATACAACAAATGCCAAACTAGAGAAGCTTTGACCTTGTAAGGGTATTCCCTTATCTGGAAAGTCAAGACATGTCCAAACACACAAACCTCTACCCTGCTGTAACTGTGAAGCTAATTCTGATGCTTTTGAACCACCAATGAGAAAGTAAAAGAACTACTTCTTTGTCTATTTCCTATAAAAATCCCCAGACAAAGCCGTTCAGAAAGCCCAAACCATTTTAGATATGAGTCCCCTGGAGCTCCACTAACATAATAAATTTCTTCCTCTTACTAATGAGGCATTCATGGTGATTTACTCCCAAGGTGTCTCTCCTGGGTCTCATCTTCATACAACAGAATCAAAATTTTCTGTGGACCAAGTATCTGAGCAATAGAGTGGTCCTGAGATTCTGTTTGTGTATCCCTTGTCATATGCAAAATTTAATCACAATACTCCAACATAGTCTTCACAGATAAAAAACTTTATAAAAATTTAACTAGCTAGTGAACTGCTTATGTTTAAAATTTGAATCAACTCTATATTCCAGGACTTTTGTTCTAGGAAAACAGCATATTTTCTGAATCAAGCTAAGCCTATGCTAATATTGCCTATCTTGAACAACTATTTACACTCCTGTTATAAGTAGTTCCAACATGTGTCTTTCAAAAAACTGTAGAACCCTACAAACTGTGAGAATGAAAAGTGAGTTTTTAAGGGCTCACCTTATTAGGAATAAGGAACTCTGGTGGTGTAGTTGTTAGTGAATTGCACTGCTTACCGAAAGGTGTTATGTCTTATTGTTGCACAATTACCTCCCTCCCTACCTCTCCTTCCCCTAGTCATCTTTGCAATGTACCTTTTATTCTGGGCTGTTGTCCTATATATAATGCTTAAACATGTATTCCTTTTAAACAGCCTTTCCTTCATCTGTTCCAATGCTGTATTCATTATTTATCCCCTCATTTCATAGTTTCCCCCCAACCCCCATGTCAGTCCTGTTCTATAACAGTAGTGTTATGCAGTATTTATCCTTTTTTGACTGATATATTTCACTCAGCATAATGTCATTCAGGGTCACCCATGTTGTGTAATGTTTTAGGAGTGTCTTGTTTTTCAGTGTTCCATTCTGTGAATATACCATAGTTTTTCCATCCATTCATTTGTTGAGGGAAGTAATTGTACAACAATGGATGAGTATTTTTTTTTTAAAAAAACCAACCCTGAACTGGGGGAAGGGAAAAAGAAGGGAGTAAAATTCATGCAATAATGAATGAATAAATAAAAATCTAACTTTTCTGTAAACTTTGGTTAAACTTGCAATTAAAATTAAAAAAAAAAAAGATGTTAAATCTCTCTGTAAGTTGGAATTCACTGCCATTGAACTTCAGGAATAAAGACAGAGAAAGCTTCCTCCTGTTAAGATTTACAGCCTCAGAAACTCAGTAAAGGGTTGCTATGAGTCAGAGCCAACTTGAGGCAGTGACTTTTTTTTTTGAGTCGTTATTAATGACATATAAGCCCGAGTCCTGACTGAAAAGTTAGATATTTCCTAAAGATTTTCTAAAACATTACCTTTGTAAGACAGCATTTGATGACCCAAATAATGCCAGATGCCTTGTATAACAAACATAGTCAAATACAACAAAATGTCATGTTTGTCACAAATAACACACTCATATAGAAAAGGCACCCACAATTACAACATATAGAACTGATAATATTATAAAACAGTTCTAGTCTAGCCTGCCCATGAATACTATGTATATTTTGTGGTATTTCAAGAAATACGTTTTCAGACTCCCTTCTATACCCAGCCATACATATTACAGAAAAACCATACAACTTAATTTTCTTTAAGCTCCTGCTTTTCTGTTTAAACATATTCCTTAAAATTGTTCTTTTTTTATAATAATTTTATTATAAAA